TATATTTTATACATTTTTTACGAATATTAAAACGTATTATTACCGTATACAATTCTGTATATAAATTTCTTATAGGGTATAATAGCTGATTTTTAGCGATTTTTGAATTTAATCTAAATTGCTAAATAAATAGCAAATAGCAATTTTTTTGATTTTGACTAGTGATTATTGCTATTTGAATTTATCTAAAAAATAATAATTTAATAAATGTAATATGATAAATTCAAATAGTAACATAAGTACTATTTTAAAAATATAGTATTTTTATTATCAATAGGCATCAATTTTTAAAGTTTATTATATTGGAATTTAAGTTAATATTTATAAATTACAAAAGAATATTCTTGCTAGATTTTCAGGATTATTTACATCAGCTAACAAATCTAATTATTTTACTTTAGTAACTCTTTTTCTTAGTTTATTTACTCAATATAAAATTAGAAGAAAATCTTTAATTTACTATATTAGTTAAAATAGATAATGATAAAAAATGAAAAGGACATTATTTTGCTTTTGATAAAATTCTTGAAACATTTAGAATTAAATTTGTAATTAATACTGATAATTTAAAATTACAAATTAAAGCTACATAAAGTTAAAAAACTATATAGGTATTTTATTATCAGAATATTTATATAATGCTTGTGGATCAATTGGAGATTGAGTTATTAATCAATGAAAAAATGTGATGTGAAATTTAGTTAATAAGTTTTTAATAGTATTTAATATTTCTGATAATTATAATCATTATCAAAATCTATTACTATTTCAGAATAATTTACTTTTGATAGTGTTATATACCTTTAAAATTATTTTTCAGATGGAGTTTTACAAATTAAATCAATTTTTAAGATATAATATTAATACAAAAAAGTAATAAAATTGAAAGAAGAAAGTTAAACATTGAATAATAGAAACCAAATGATCAAAATTTTAAAAGTAAAAATACAAAAAAAAGAAAAATATAGCATTAGAAAAAGTATTCTATAAATGAATTAAAACTATAATGAAAAAAAAAGCATTAAGTTACAAAACTATTTGAAAAACAATTATTAAAACCATTAATTGAATTAGAAATATTTATAAATAAACAAATAATTAAAGTTATTCAAGATTTGGATGAAAATTAGGATAAATTACATGTTAGTCAATATGTTTTACGTTATAATAAAAAAAATAAACAACTTTTTGATTATATTTTTATAAATAAATATATAAATTTATAAATTATTCATTTTTATAAAAATTAGAAAAAAAAAAGTAATTAAATTTTTACATGATTAGGTATTTTTTTTTTTGAAATAATTGTAAATAACACAAGAATCTTAACTTTAGTAATAAAAAAGAATAAATTTCAATAGTTAATAAAGTTATTAAAAATATATTAAAAAGTAAATTAACAAGTTTTTTTGAATAAAAATCTAATAATGTTTAAGTATAAAAAGTTAAAAAACACATATATAACAAGTTTACTTTGTAATACAGTTAATAATTTTAAATAATACAAAATTTCAATTATGTTTAATATAGTCTTATAAATATATCACCTGACTGATTAATCAAATATTTAAATATATTCTTTTTGATTACTTTTAAAAAGACTTTTTTTTAACAATTATAATAATGGTTTATTTATTTAATATTTCAGCTAAAGTTGTTAGATAGAATCTAGAGTTTAAATAGGTACTAAATGATAAAGATAAAACTTGGTTAAATTATATTAAACCTTATTAAAAAGTTTGCGAAATTTAGAAAAAAATAAAACTATATCAAAGCTTATAAAAATAGTGAAACTACATTATATTAAATATTTTGTAAAAATTTAGTAAAACTAAAGATTTAAACATTTAGTCAAATCCTTTATTTAAAATATTTTAATTAATTTGGATAATTTATCTAATATACATATTCTTTTTTATGCATTTGAATATTAAATTAGTAAAATTCAAATTTTTTATATTTAAACATTAAATTGCATAAATTTTTATTTGTATTATGAGATTTTTAATAATTTTGAATTTGTATAATATAATTCTTAATAATTTTAGATTTATATAATAAAATTTCACTTATTTATATAAATTTATTATTATGTAAAAACAAAACAATAAAGTTATTAATTATCTCATCTAAAAAATTCACTTTCAAATTTAATTATCTATTAGCTATTCTTTCTTTTCTTTTTTATTTCTTTTTCTGCTTCATTAATATAATGAAAAATATTTAGATAATCAATCTATTTAATAATTTATAATAAATATTATCAAAACATATTTTTTTATTCATCTATTAAGAATTTTTAATATAGTTTATCTCAATACTTTCCAAAAAAATCCAATAAGCGAAAACTATAAGTTTCAATTAAAGATATACTAATTGTCTTATTATCCTTTCTATAGAAAAGAGTAAAATTGAGAATTGGAATGTTTATTTTCATATAATCTTACAATAATTTTTATTTTTTGTTCTATTGTAATAATTTTTACAAATATAACTTTTTCCTTTTTATAGAATAAATAATTTAAATTATAAATAATAAAAACTTATTCAAAGTATTAATTATAATTATTATATTAACATATTAAATAAAGATGAGAATTGTAATTAATATGTTGCAATATACATTGCAATTAGTTTGACCTATATATGTTGCAACTTATAATATTGCAACATATGTTGCAACTAATTTTAGCTTATGTTCGCTTATATTGCAATATGTTGTAAATTTGAAATTAATTGCTGCACTATTTTAGTATTAAACTAACTTTTAATATTTCTGTAATACAAATGTCTTTTGATTAAGTAAAAGTCTTCTGGTTAAATTAAATTGTCTTTAATTAGATATTGAATAAGAGATACAATATTTATTATAGCATTATACTATTCTAATAAATCAAAACTCATCATTTTTCATTTTTGTATTGTATTTATAATATTTTCTATATTATTTTTGATTCTTTTGATAAATTATTAATTCAATGAAAAATTCTTCCTTTAATACATATTGTTATTACTTAATTAGATGATTGTTAAATTTATCATAATATCATATTTATTGGTTAAGATCCTATCTCAGAAGTGATTGTAAATTGTGATGCAATTACTTTTTTCTGATTTCTTAAAAATATTTTTGAACTTTTTTTGCAGTATATTCATCAAATTATTCTAAAATATGTTTATACAATATTATTTAGGTAAAAATTGTTGATGCCATCGAAATCCAACGAAATCTGTCCTTACACGTGAAATTTTGAAGGTTTAAAAAAGGACAAAATTAAAATTTGCGATGAAAAAACTAAAAATAAATAAATATAAGTGATTGGCTATTAATGATTAAAATCACGCTATCAGCTATATATTTCCATAATTAGCATTTGATAATGAAGATCATGAATCCCATAATTCCACATTTTTCACATTTCAATATAAATAAGTACAGATTCCATTTGTCTATTCCTTATATTCGTTCTTGCGAAAGTGATATGTCTATAGGCTGATATCTTCAGATAAAGATTTTTAACGCGGTAAACTGCGCTCCCTGTTTTACCATAGTTTTAATGATACAGTCTACAAGATTGTTAGCATAGCGAGGCTCAAGGAATAGTCGCTTAAAGGAATTTGCTTCCCTAGACATGGAATGCGAGTGTGTCACTCCCTGCTAACTTTTACATTATTTATTTTCTTTATAATAGATAACCTTGCATACGTTTCGATATGGGTCCATGAGTGATAACATTTATATATTATAGCGGGTGGTGATTAGAGGGATTGATTTTGGATTAAACATAATAAAAAAAATTACTATGTAAATATTGTTTACTGTTAAAGTAAGTTAATAAAAATATTTTGAGTTTTAGTAATTCTTGTTAGTTAAATAAAATTAATTGTTGACTTTATCTTTTAATTAATTTTCTATATATTATTTAACATAAATTATTCTTAACAAATAATTCTAAATCTAACATTTCTTACCTAACGCAAAATTTAATTTATCTCAAAGTAAAAATACCCAAAATTCAAAATTATTTAAAGTAAATTTTAATCGTAAATTTCATTCGTCCCAAGAAAGTTATAAAATAGAATTATGTACCCCTTTAATTATCAGCTTGAAGCTAAATATCTTATTTTAAGTCGATCAGGGGAAATACATTTTTTTTATTTGTAATAACCAAAACACAAATAATTTTTATATATCAAAGGGAATATCTAATATTTTCTGAAGATTCTTCATGCATGTTAAAATTAACTCTTCAATACAACCTGAAATATTTCATATTCGTCAATGGTGAAGCTGCTTGGAATGTTAATACCAATATAAGCGTGTCCACGATTACTAACATTCCAACTACATCCTCCTTGTGTAGACAAATCATATCCACCACCAAAAGTTGGCCCATAAATACTGTGATAAAATACTGCATCTTTATGATTTTGAAAAACACGACCTAATTTTGCAGTATCGAGGTTGTTGCTGTTTGTTATGTTAAATCACTCGTATTTGAATGTTTAACATGCTGATCTTTATTCTGATTTACAGGATTATAACCACCAATGATTTTCTTTGAACCTTTTAACTCTTGTAACAAATAAAGTTACACCCTTGTCATCACATAACTGTTGATATTTAGCAGAATCAAATCCATCTCTAGTACCACGCAAAAGTAATGTAAATTTATATGGTATTCTCGTGAGATAGTTTTCGCAAAAAGTTTAATTAAATCATAATTAATCAACGCGGAATCAATCTTTGGATAGATGACTTAACGCAGGAGTAGAATCTGAGACCATATGACGACGAAGGATATCACTGAGCAAATCCTGAGATAAGAAGTCTTTATATGGATAAACTTTTAAGTAAACGTCTTCCTTGGAAATATCATAAAATCTGATTAACGGAATGTATTCTTGCATGGTCTGTTTAATATTTGCGTAATCTTCTGATGACCATTCAGAATCATCTTTACCGATTTTTAGGTAATGAACAAAAAGCCACCTACGAAGTGATTACCATATGTCAATTTCATCCATATTAAGATAATCTCTTCGAAGTACCATGGTAATAATTGGTTTTTCCAAAGATGGAAATTTTTGAGATGTAAAGAGAATTCTAGGTTCTGAACTAATGATTTTAAGGCAACAATCTTTTAAGTTATCAAATGTTTCATGTTGGTGGATGACTTCAAGCGTGCCAACAGGATCATGATGTAAAAAATTCTTGATTATCAATCAAATATTCCTGAATATGTTCAATCAATTTACTCAATCCTAATTCATCTGCATTCCCGTATATAAATACCTAGGAAAATTTGTAAGCGAATAAATAAATGTGAATTATTTCTTGATTAATTATTCAAGTTACAATGACAAAAAAAAAATTTATTTACTTGCCTTAGGATTATTTGGAATACTTCAGGCGATATTTGATTTTTCAATAATATAGACACCTTCTTCGTCTTTTTTCTCCCAATTTTTGGACAATGTCCGTTTAAAGTATGAACACCTAGCATGAAGAACAAATAAATGCGTTTGAAGTTCCTTAACAACATATTCTCCAGCCCTGATGATTACATCGTAGTCTTCACTATCTTCAAGAGTAATAATTGGATGCCATTTTTAAAATATTCGTTTAAAGTATCAAAGCCGAAAAAACCCCCCCCCCCCTCCCCCCCCCCGAAATAATCAAAGAGTGAGCTTTTTCAGTTGAATTTGTTAAAGGTTTTATTATTATATGAAAACTTCATAAAGATTTTAAAATTTAAATAGTCTTTATTTGAATAAAAAAAATGAAAAATTTATTTTGTTATAACGCGCTTTTTCACGCTGAAAACATTTTCACTTTTCAGGTGAATCCTATACAGTGGCAAAAATTACCTTCTTGACCCTCCTGGTGCTACTTGACCCACCATGATGATCATATATATTTTATAATAAGATGGGTCAAGAAAGTATAGAGTCAGAATTCACGTACACAATGTGCACGTATGCATATGATTTTTTAGTGTAGCACAAAAAAATTATATTTTCATAGGGTTATATATAGATTTTAAGGGCGTTTTTAAATTTATAATTGCTCTTGAATTAGTTATTTTGCCTTCAACTGCGGAAAAGCAATCACTTCCTTGATATGGGCTAATTTGTCTACACGATACGTTTATATCACAAATGTGATATCATGTGATATCTGAAAATTTAATAATTAAAGTGCATTTATTGGTTCAATTACACATAATGATTAATGTAATAATTTATAAAGAATACAAAAAGAAAGAAAGAAAATCAATTAATAATATATATTACTGTTATCTTACGATACTAACGACTGAAAATTAGTATTAACGCAAGATTAACAAGGGATTTAGCTTTAAGACTTT